TCAAACAATTGAGACGAAGCTTTGGCATTGGCTTTCACGATCTTTGCATGTAGAGAATTTAAATATGCATTAATATCAAGCACAACAAACTACTGCAGTACTGCTGCCTCTCTGCAACAGCAACATCCTGTGTTTGCTTTGCAGTTTACACTATTGTAATTCAATATATATTGTTTTTATTCCATGTTATAAATAAACCAGATTTCAAAAAGCATCAGTGTCTTACTGGCATGAGGATGAACATGCATCAACGAGCAGATCTCTCTCTGAGACATTTACAAACTCTACTTGAAATAAATGCTGGTACTGCAAGAAACCTGTGCCTAAGTGTGCCAAAAGATGTATGGAAGGCAATGTTGCCTTTGACAGGTGTTCAGCCTCCAGGCCACCCCAGAAGAGCACGTGTAGATACTGTGGAACCGCACTGCCTGTGACACTTGGTTCTCACCATGGCAGAAAACCACAAGCTCCTTAGCATTGGCCATCTTTCTTTGTCTGTTTGTTTCTGAGGGATTTCTGAGCCGCAGCAGCAGTTAAGCAGGGCCAGATGGGAAAACTGCAGCAAGGCCTAAAAAAGCTTTTAGAATTGTGTGTGTGTGCATATAATTTATGTACAAATATATATGCATGCTCATGAGTAAGTACACACAAACCAATTTTACGTCTAACTTTCCAATTCATTTGGAAATGTGATGACACATGGTAGGACAGTGGAAGAAGGAACCAGTGATAAGTAAGAGTAGTGCTATTCAGGCAGGAGTTTCAGTGCTTCGTAACTGTTTAAATCAACTTCTACTGACACCAGACAGCAGCCTCCCCAGCAGGCAATGGAATGAAGTCTACATAGTATTGCTATGCCAGGATGCTTTCTGGACTATTTAGAGTCTGCCATTCTTCAGCAATTGCAGAATTCTGCTCACAGATGAACAAAGATTACAGAAGTTTTGAGCTGCAACAAGGTGCTCACTGGCAGGTAATCCATGCAAATCCAGAAGTCTCCATTGCTGCAAGTGCAGTGAGCTAATTACTGCTCGGGCCTGGCTAATCAGCAATCTCAGGGAAAATGACATGTCCTAACTCACAGTCAATTCCAACATGGCGATGAGCATCTAACCAGGGCACTCAGCAGCAAATTACACACACTGTTAGCAAGTATTTCTGATTATCACCACCTTTCTGAAAAATAAGTGCCTAATATTAAAGAGCAGCATTCTCATGAAACTGCTCAGAACTTTTTACATGAGCAAGGAGGTAGCTGCAGGCACAGTGATCACAGCAGGTCACAGCCTGACACAGGCTCCCTCTATACCCAGAGAAGTGCCCCAGGATACAATTCCACTTCATCCTAAACAAAACACTCAAACCAGGCCAACTGAACCACCTGATGGAAGCAGCTTTCCTTCCACTGTTCCTGAAGGGAGTCCTACTCTGGTGCAGGCGCCTCATGTTCAGTAAAATGAACCCCAACCCATACAAAACACAAGCCAGCAGCAGAGCTAGGAATGACACTCCAGGCTCTATATCCCAGAGCTCACCTCTTCTGCCGTCCAAAAAGAGGCTTGGGCCTGTTTGTACATTTTCCATATGTCCGGGTACTGGATGGGGAAGATGACGAACCGACGAGGATTTTTTCTGAGAAGAGGCTCCTCGTGAGGTTTCAAGCCATTTTCACTTGGAGAGGAGCTCTGAAAATAAAGCACAGTCCTGGTTAAGGCTGCTGTTACTATTCCCTACTTTTCCCTCTGTCACAAAAATACATCCCAAAAGTCCACAGTCTCAGGCAGACGCTCACCCACTCCCCACAGGCAGCTGCATCACCCTTCCCTGGGGTGCTCACCCCTTCACCCTCCATCCGTGCCCAGCTCAGGCGGCAGCACTGCCTTCCTGCCCTGCTCTGTCCTGCACTTCTCACATCAACCAGTCCCTGAGCAGCTGCACCTCTTGAGTGCCAAAGCGAGCACTTTTCTGCAGTACAAGAAGGAAACTGCAGCTGCACTTGCACTGCGCCCTCAAAAGATGCCATCAAACATGGTGGGGATGCATGCAAGGTGACAGTGCTGCCCAACGGCTCCTCAAGGCCAGCCTGCACCTGGCATCACACATCCCCATTCCGCTCCCTAACCCCAGTGTGCTGTTCCTGCACCATTCAAAAAGCAGCACGCAGGGCCCATCATGTAGAAAGATAACCTGGAAAATACTTCTGGTGTATAGAAGTGGAGGGAAGGCATAACAAGAAAACTGGAGATTAACACTGAGGCAAGAGAGTGTGTCTTTCCCAATGGCCTCTAACAGCATGCCAGTAGTACTGTCAGCACACTTCACAAAAAGGTAACAGAAGAAGTGGGCCAGGAAGCAGTATATACAGACAGGAGAGTCCCAGTGGCAGGAAAACGGAGCATGGCTTCCAGGTTGCAGTGAGAGCTCCCCGAGAACTGCAGAAGTAGAAAGTGATACCAGTTTAAAAAATAGTTATAATTTTTAAAAATGTAAGAATGGGCTGGATGTGGCTCTGGAGAGCCTAGCATAGTTGGTCCCCATGGCAGGGGAGTCAAAACTAGATGATCTTTGAGGTCCTTTTCAACCCAGGCCATTCTATGATTCTATGAACAAGGAAGAATCGGTCCAGAGAGAACACGCCGTGCTGGGAATCCCTCTCTCTGCACCCTCAATATCATCTAAGCTCTTCTGAGGATGGAGTATTGCACACATGCTCTGTCTCTGCGTTCACAGGAGGCAAATCTTGCTGTGACAATGGTGCTCAGTTCTGAACAAATACAGATGACTCCCTGATTTCTACTTCTGTAATACAGTAGAAGCTGATCACTGCCAGGGCTCCCCTTGCCGTCCCCTTGCACAACAAGAGCATGACACAGTCCTAGGCCTGCCCTTCTGACCCCAAAAAAGCAGTGGGGGAACATAGAGCTGGGGAGGTAATCTTCACACAGCCCGTACACCTCCTGCTTCCATTTGGCACCCTGCCTTCTTTCCTTTCTCATGGTGGTGTACAAAGTACAGTCAGTAGGTTGCTCAAGGCAGTATCCAGTTGGCAGTCTGAGCATCTCCACTGATGAGAACTCTGCAACCTCGCTGTGCAACCTGTGCCAGTGTTTGACCCCCTGAACAGCAAGAAAGTGAGTTTTTAATGCACAAGTGGAACCTTCTGTCACTGCCTCCTGCCCTGTCACTGGCACCACTGAGAAGAGGCTGACTCCATTTCCTCTATTTTCTCCAAGCAGGCTGAGCTCTTCCAGCCTCACAGTGTATGACTGAAGTTCCACTCTACATTCCCAGCCTTTCGCCAAACAAACTCCAGTTATTCTGCAACTGCTGCAGGTTAAGTGCTGCTAGTGAAGACAATAAACCTAACAGATAACAAAGATTGCCTAATGGTACTGAAATTCTTTCCATGAATCTCATATTCAGCACACTAGGAAAATATTAGTATATATACACAGAAAATCACTGCCCTCCAACAGTAAATGCTGGACTATACATGCAAGTATCTCATAGAATCATAGAACAGTTTGGGCTGGAAGGGACCTTGAAGATCATACAGTTCAACTCCCTGCCACAGACAGGGACACCTCCCATTAGACCAGGTTGCTCACAGCCCCATCCAGTCTGGTCTTGAGTACTTCCAGGAAGGAGCATCCACAACTTCAGTGGGCAACCTGTTCCAGTGTCTCACCACCCTCACAGTGAAGAATTTCTTCCTAACATCTAGTCTAAATCTGCCCTCTTCCAGTTTAAAGCCATCCCCCCTCATGGTGTTGCTACATGCCTTTATAGAAAGTTCCTCCCCAGCTTTTCTGTAGGCCCCCTTTAGGTAATGGAAGAATGCTACAATGTCTCCTCAGAGCCTTCTCTAGGCTAAGAAGCCCCAGCTCTCTCAGCCTATCCCCATAGAGGAGGTGCTCCAGCCCTCCAATCATCTTGGACCTATTCCAACAGCTCCATGTACTTCTTATGTTGGAGGCACCAATACTGGACACAGTGCTCCAGGCGGGGTCTCACAAGAGCAAAGTAGAGGGGCAGAATCACCTTCCTCAACCTGCTGGTCATGCTTCTCTTGATGCAACCCAGCATATTGTTGGTCTTCTGGGCTGCAAACGTACATTGCTGGCTCACGTTGAGTTTTTCATCAACAGACACCCCCAAATCCTTCTCCTCAGGTCTTCTCTCAAGCCATTCTCCACCCAGCCTGTATCTGTGCTTGAGATTGCCCTGACCCAGGTGCAGGACCTTGTGCTTTGTTTTGCTGAACTTCATGAGGTTGGCATGGCCCCACCTCTCAAGCCAGTCCTCTGGATGGCATCCCTTCTCTCTAGTGTGTCAACTGCACCACTCAGCTTGGTGTCACCTGCAAACTTGCTGAGGATGCACTCAATCCCACTGTCCGTGTTGCCTACAAAGACATGAAATAGCACCGGTCCCAGCACCGATTTCAGCTACGTGCCCTGCATTAATTACAGCAAAGGAAGAGAAAGAAGAGCACCGGCAGGGCTGGCACTGTGATACATCAGGTCCATGTCTGATAAAAGCCGTTGGGGCATACAAGGAAGGATGCCTTCCACGCTGCCATATAAGCCACAGGCTCCCAAAGGCGTGGGGCAGCGCTGGGCAGCAGAGGCTCCACGTGCAGCAGATGGGTTTACCTGACCAGGGAGATCGCCTGCACCCCAGAGGGAAGAGCACAGCTAATTGTTTCTGGCAGGCCAGAGTAAGCCAACCGCATTAGGGGAATAGCACAACACTGATTAAAGAAATAAGTGTGCGTGTACAGATGTTTTATCAGGCTTGTATTTAATACAGCACATGCCAGTTTCCAGCAGCTCGAGTACGGCTGGAACCCAGCCTTTGGAAAGATCGGCTGCGTTTCCTCCCCGCACGCCGTCAGCTTCACGCTCTCAGGCCCGGCTGCGCAGACCGTGCCCTGAGGACGCAGAAAGGGCCTCGGGCAGCTCCCCAGCAGAGCCCCTCAGGCCCGCAGGGTTAAGGAGAGGATTCTCCCCGCCCTTCCCTTCCCGCCGCACTTCCCGACACGGAGGCCAGCCGCGCGGGCAGCCCACCGAACCCCGAGGCCGGACCGGAGCCCGGGGCCGAATCCCGTCAGCCGCACAGCGAGGCGCTGCGCGAGCAGCCCGCAGTCACGCAGCGCCCGAGGCGCAGCCCCCCGCCCGACAGGGCTCGGCGCCCCGCCCGCCCTTACCCGCTCCGGCCCGGCCGCCTCCCGCAGGGCCGCTCGCCCCCGGCGCTCCCCCATGGCCCGCGGTGACTGGGCCGCACGAGCGCCGGCTGAGGGCGGAACGGCCGCGGCCGCCCCTCCTCCGCGAGGCGGAGCCCGGCAGGCGGCGGCGCGGCCTCCTCCCGGCCCGGCCGTTTCCCGGCGCCGCGTTCCCCGGCCGTGCCGAGCCCTGCGTCCAGTGTGCGTGCCGCACGGCGGGCTTCGGCGGCGCGACTGCGCTGGCGGCCAGAAGGAACTCTGAGGAAGACGGTGTGCTTAGCTGGCGCTGCTTCATCGCCCGAAAGCGTCAGCTAGCGGATAAACGCTAAAAAGCACGTGGCAGAACCCAACCAACTCATGCGGCAACGAAACCCGCATTTTTTTGATCTTGATACAGACCTCAGAATACATTTAAGCAATCGGGTAACAGACGTGGTTGCTCCCAGCTGGAAAACTCTCGTTCCTTCCCCTGGACTTGCTTGTAGGGACTGTGAGAGCAAGCAGCGAGAGTGAAAGCATTGCTAAGATGTTTCTGCCCTTTATTGCAAGTCACTTCTTACGAACAGAGATTTCTGCAAGAGACTGTAATTGTCAGAGTTTTTGTTTCTTTCCTCGTCCTCGCCTCCAGGCTGGCCAGGCCCTTGGGCTCCAGTTTCTGTGGATGCATGGCGTATTTGTCAACACAATCCCAGGGAGGCAGGAGGGAGAAAAAAGAAAAGCCCTGCTCCAGGCAGCAGGGAGTGGTTTGGTGCAACCGTTTGAAATTGGACAAATGTGAAAGCAAACACCAGTGACGAGCACCCAAGACAGTTAGCTGACGCAGATCCAGGACTGAGCCACTCTGTAAAAGTAGAGAGGAGCACTTGAAGTGCCAGGAATAAACACTTGAGGAGGAGGATGTGGAGGTCTGATGTTCCTCGTGGAGAAGAGTCTGCACTCACTGCACCATCCCCATCACCGCTGCCTGGTTGCTCTTGAGTTCAGGTGACTGCTGGTCCCAAGCATAGAACAGGTTTGGTTTCCTTAAATGGAGTTTTCTGACAAGAAACACATACCTAAGTGCCACATCACTAAACAGTGCACCAGAATATAGAACAGGCATTAAAATGAAAAAATACAGTCTTATACAAACATTTGCTGTTACCCAACTACTGCTCTTTTTGAGTCAGTTTTGAAGTTTCATTGCTCAAACGTACCCATACATGCTGTGTAATGTCTGTGTTTAACTATAGCTCCAGTCTTTCACGTACTGAGTACCAGGGATTCCATTTCTTCATCCAGAGCAAATGATGAGAGGAACTCTGAGTTGAAGCAAGCCCAAATGACCCATCAACACCAACACGTTTCATTGGTGCATCCAATACAGTGCTGATTTCCCAGTAACTCATGCTTCCCCCTCAACAAGAACAAGCACCAAAACTCAAGTACCAATCATACTATTTAATAACACTGACCTGCCTATTGATAGTTCCAGATCTCTGCCCCTAAATCCAGTCACCCCCAAATTAGGGACTGTCCTTGAAAAACCCTCGGTTTTTTTAAACCTAAACCATAAATTCACGTAATTAAAAACAGAAAGGACTTTGAATATTTAGGGATAATTTCTTAAAGACACACTTCCCCTTCTACAGATGCACAGCAAACATCTATTTACACAGAGCCTGAAGAATAATACAGAGGAAAAATGTGGCAAAGGACATGTACCGTGAAAGAGAGGATTAACAAAACAGCAGTTGGCTCTTCTCACATCCCCACAAGAATCCACCAACTTCTGTCAACTGCATATAAATTAATTACATAACGTACATGATAATGAAATATGGAAAAGCACTTGTGGAATAGTAAAATAGTTTACATCCAGATTAAATACATGTAGTATTATGCACGGTTTTGCAAGACAAAGATTACCGAGGAGAACCTGTACTGTTCTATTGAAAACATCACCAGGTGAATGGGATGTTTTCCTCCTTCTTCAGCTCCTAACCTACTTGGTGGCACAGAAGCTGAACTCAGGGGTCGTACCTACTCTTTCTCAGGACAGCATACAAGTGCCAACTCAGCATCCCTGCCATCATTGCACTGGACCAAGAAATGGAATCTCTGGTACTCGTGTTCACCAAACTTTCATAGATCTCTCCTGAAAGTGCAGGGGTGTTATCCAGAGGAGCAGGATGCAGAAATCCAGAACAAGATGTCCCTGAAATTTGTCAACAGTAACATCCAAAATGCAGATCACAATTTGAGCTACAGTGCCTCTTTGCTCCCTCCCCCTAATGATACTATTTACTTTGAGAATATTTGTCTGTATTTTAAAAATACATTTATAGAGATTGCATTTTATGTAAAGAATGCTATTTTAGGTAGGTTGAAGAATTTTCATTTATAAATCAGTCAAATCAATCTTCCTAGCTGAAAATTGTTCATAATGTGCAAATCAGTATGTGAATAATTTCAGCATGTCCAAAATAAGCATTTCCTGGAAAGCCACCTTAGAAGTCTCCTTGCACAGAAGCTAACAAGGGTTGTGGCAGCAATGTGTTTTCCACTAAGTTCATATTGACTACTGTATTCAAACATACACTGTGTTAGATGTTGTCATGGATGAAGGAAGTTTCAACATTATGGGGAAGAAATGTTCTGAAACACTGGGTAGCAACCAACTGCTTCTTACTAAACAGTATATCACAATGGTAACTTGTGATTAATGACAAAAATGAGCATTACATTCAGAAAATTGTGGACAGAGACACTGTGATGCAAGTCACCTTTAGAACAGATTTTGATTACAGATTACAGAGATACAGAGCACGCATGAACTTCTAGCACTGAGGGGTCGAGGTGCTCAGTGAAGCTTTTGCATGACTAATCCGCACCCACATTTGTGTGTGTGGATGTTCAGAGCTTAGGATAAGTGAACACTACGCATGCTGAAATCCAATTATTAGGATTTGCAAAGTCTTACATTTCGGTTTGGCAGACTATTTACTAAGAAGAATTAGGCCAACTGAAGAGTTTAGGTTAAAAGGTCAAATTATCCAGTTTAAAAAGAGAAAGCAAAACAAAGCTAGTAAGCTAGGTAGCTGTTTGCCATAGGAAGCTAGAGAAATGAAAGCATCAATGAGTGCAGAAAGGTTTAGAATGCCATTTACATAAATTCATGCACTGAGACATGATCTACAGCTTATAAAATGAAAGAGGAGCAGATAAGATTGCTGAAATTAGAATCACAGAAGGAACACTGAAGATTGTCCAGGTCCAACCGCCTGCTGTAGCAGGGCTGCCATCCCCTAGCTCAGGCTGCCCAGGGCCCATCCAATCTGGCCCTGGAATGCAGTACCCACAGCTCTCTGGGCATCCTGTGCCAGAGCCTCACCAAGGCCCTAATGTACTGAGCAATCTGTCACAGCATTAGAAACGACCAAGCTGTGCTAAACTAGGCCTCCAGAAAGAGCACTGTGTGAAACAGACCTGCTAGATACAAGGTGGTGTGACTCGTATGTTTCTGCCATCCGTAAAACTGAAATCAGAAGCTCCTACATGTTATTCTCTGTGCACTTCTATTTGGACACACGGTGAAGCAAACTTCTTTTTAAACAGTAGATCTGTACACAACTGCACGCATCTTTTAAAAGATAAACACAGGCTATTAGGAAATTTTCATTTTTTTTTTTTTACACCTCCCTGAATGACTGATTCTGTACAAGATGGGTAGCACTTTTGATTCACAAGTTCACCAGTTCACTTTTTTCCAATAAATGCTACCTATAACCAGTAACTTACTTGCAGGAAAGAAAAGTAACTCCCAAACCAAGTGGAAAGAAAAGGCCACTCTGTAAGAAAAGTCTGTGTAATTTTTCATTTCTGGTAAGGTAAGCAATCCGAAGCAAGCAGTCTACCTTCTGGACTGGACAGAGTAAACTATCCAACAGAATCTATCACTGAGGACTAACTATGGGAAGACCACGCTAAAGAGTCAGTTCACTTTAGCTTCAGAATAGGAACCGGCGAGCTGGTGGCAACATTTTGTTAGTTGCTAACCTCTATCTTCTATTTCAGAAGTTATAAATATAGGTAATTATCTGGACTATATAAAAAGTATTAGAGATTTTTGCTTTAACTTGTTTCTCTACCACATCTTGGAAGTGAACTAATAGAAGGGCTTAAGTCAAAGGGAGACGAGGTGTATGATTTTAATAAACATTTTTTTTCTTATTAAAATCTTGATATAGTTTAAATATACCATACAGAGGAAAAAAAGCTATTTATACATATTTCAAGTCAATGACCACAGCATAAATCAAACTAGATTCCCTCTCCACTTCTGTCATCAGAATGCCTTGTGTGTATATATGGTGAGCTACTATGAGTTATCTGCATAATTTCTGTCTAGCTATACATTACAGGACTTAAAAAAAGTTTAATCTATATACAGAAATATATATACATATAACATATATTTATATGTTATACATACACATACACTTATATACATATACACACAATACATATATATATACACACAGTACTTTACATTTATATATGGCCTTTTATCCAAGGACCTTGAATACTTTTTAATACATCAAGTCTCACAAAGCTTTGTGAGGGAGGGAGCTTTAATTTTACAGACTGTAGAACTGAGGCCTATTCTTAACAGGTTCCTGTTGTTTGCTTTTGTTTATTCCTGCTTCCTACCAACTTCACAACATTCCCATTAGAGGCATTTTTGGTAATGAAATAATTATACCGGTTCGAAACCCAGGCAGAAGACACACAATGCTTTGTACCTCTCTAACTATATTCCTTACTATATGAGAATAGTCATGCCAGTAAATTTTCTCTATACTGCTCCTTAAATTTAGACTTGCATAGCTGTACTGGGTTTTCTCTTTTTAAAGAAGCATTAGCATAGTGAAATGAGATAATTTTGAATTTAAGATACACTGAAAATCACAAAAGAAAATCCAGAACAGACTCCAATCCCCACACACTGAAACAGTTCTTTTCTAGAATGATTGATTTAGAAAGTGTCAGTAAATACAGAAATAATTCTACATCTGTGTATTGATTTATCTGCAGATTAACTACATA